AAATCACACAATTAAACAATAAAAATGACAAAGCTACCAAAATTCATATTTTTGTGATTTTCATTCTTTTAAAATGGGACATGGTTTAATTAATTCAAAAATGCACAATTAAATTCTAAATATGCATGCAACATGTATTTTGGTATTTTTCAATTAATTAAAACAAGATAAACATTCACAGACAAAAATAATTATCCAAAATGTCACGCAAAATTCTCAAAATTATACCCAAAGGCAATTTGTTTTATTTTTCGATTTCTTTTGGAATAATTTTCGTAAAGCAAAAATCACGTGCTCACACACAAGACATGCCAAAGCGACTACCACCTAGGCGCACTGTGGACCATGAAATTGAGCTGGTGTCGGGCGCGAAGCCACCTGCCCGGGCGCCTTACAGAATGTCACAACCCAAACTCACCGAGCTTCGGAGACAATTGACGGAAATGTTAGACATAGGGATCATCGTGCCCTCCAAATCCCCATACGGGTCCCCTGTGCTATTCCAAAAGAAATATGATGACAATATGTGACTCTGTGTGGACTATCGGGCTCTAAAAAAAATTACTGTGAAGAACAAGTACCCTATTCCGCTAATGGCAGACTTGTTTGATAGACTGGGTGGTGCGACGGTGTTCACCAAAATAGACCTGAAGACAGGTTATTGGCAAGTTCAGATTGCAGAGGGTGATGAACACAAGACTACCTGTGTGACAAGATATGGGTCGTACGACTTCCTGGTTATGCCATTCAGCTTAACTAACACCCCAACTACGTTTTGCACTTTGATGAACCAAGTCTTTCGAGAGTACATTGATGAATTCGTGGTGGTCTACTTGGATGACATTGTGGTATATAGCCAAACATTGGAGGAACACCTGATGCACTTGCGGAAGGTCCTAGCTCGATTGTTGAAGCATGAACTATATGCGAAGCTATCTAAGTGCTCCTTTGCTCAAAAGCAAATTGACTTCCTCGGACATGTCATCAAGGAAGGGCAGATCAAGATGGACCAGCAGAAGATTCAGGCAATCACAGATTGGCCGCCGCCTAAGGATATCCATGCCTTGAGGGTGTTCCTTGGTCTATGCAATTTCTATCGGCGATTTATGAAAAACTACTCCCTCATTGCAGTACCATTGACAGAACTCCTCAAGAAGGTCACGCCTTGGGAATGGGGACCCAAGCTAGCAAAGGTCTTTATGTCTAGTAGCCCCATCTTGGCCCTTCCTGATCTGGCCAAGCCATTCGAAGTACAAACAGATGCATCTGACTATGCCCTCGGTGGAGTCTTGCTACAAGAAGGCATCCTGTAGCGTACGAGAGTCAGAAGCTGAAGGATGTAGAGCGGCGCTATGCCGCCCATGAGAAAGAATTATTGGTTGTCGTCCACTGCTAGCGCCTTTGGAGGCACTATCTGCTGGGGACCCCGTTCGTGGTCAAGACAGACAACACAGCTGTTAGCCATTTCATGACCCAGCTGAAGTTGAATGGTCGACAGGCTAGGTGGCAGGAACTCTTAGCTGAATTCCACTTCAACCTGGAGTACCGAAGTGGGAAGACCAATCATGTTGCTGATGCACTCAGTCGGAGAGCTGATCTAGCATCAGTGTGCCTACTCGCCACCCTAAGGGGGAGCGAAGTAGCCACCTCCATCAAGGACTAGATACAGGATCTACTCATCAAGGATCCTGCTGTACAGTATTTGGTTGATTTGGTAAGACAGGGCAAGACTCGCCAGTTCTACATGAAAGATGGTTTCCTGAAAGTAAAAGGGAACCGACTTTATGTTCCTAAAGGAGGAGATCTGCGAAGGACTCTTCTGGCGGAATGTCATGATACTTTGTGGGCCAACCATCCCAGTGAGGAATGCACTGTGGCGTTACTTCTCCATGCATATTATTGGCCTCAAATGTCCGATGACGTTGCTCAGTATGTGAAGACTTGTCTAGTATGCCAGAAGGACAAGTCGGACCGCTTAACACAAGCGAGACTCTTGGAACCACTAGATGTCCCAAAGAGACCTTGGGAAAGCGTTTTCCTGGATTTCATCACCAGATTGCCCAAGGCAGAGATCTCGCAACTATCTTGGTTGTGGTAGATCGGTTTTCCAAGTATGCTACCTTTATTGTTGCCCCACAATATATATCAGCAGAAGATACAGCTCGACTCTTCTTCTCTCATGTCATCAAATATTGGGGCCTGCCCAAAGACATTGTTAGTGATCGTAACTCACGCTTCACTAGTAACTTTTGGACCCAACTCTTTAAGTGCCTTAGGTCAATGCTGAGTCACAGCTCAAGTTTTCATCCACAATCTGATGGTCAGAAGGAGCAGTTCAATGGTATGTTAGAGAAATATCTCTGCCACTTTGTAACCGGATCGCAGAAGAATTGGGTGAAACTTTTGGATGTTGCTCAACTGTGTTTCAATTCACAAAAGAGCTCTAGTACAAACAAAAATGCTTTTGAAATTGTTACCGGACAGCAACCGCTACTCCCACACATAGTCAATGCACCAAATATGTCTAAATCTCCTCTAGCTGCTAGCTTCTCAAAAGAGTGGAAGCAAAATTTGGAGATAGTGCGGAGCTATCTTGTCAAGGCTCAAAAGTGGATGAAGAGGCATGCTGATTAGAATTGTCGCTTTGTTGAATACTAAGTAGGAGACAAAGTGATGGTCAAAATTCCAAAGTGGTACTTATTTGTGGGGGTCCATGACCCTCGCCTATTGCAAAAATACATTGGACCCTTATCCATTGAAAGGCGCATTGGGAAAGTTGCATACCGGGTGGATACCCCAGCTTGGTGGAAAATTCATCTTGTCTTCCATGTCAGCATCCTAAAACCTTTTCAAGAAGACATGGAGGATCCTTCACGGAGCCAGCTCACAATACCCAGTATCGAGGGCCCAATTCAATCGGGAAAAAGGCGTGTTGAAGCTATCCTTAATGATAGAGTGATTCATGCCTCAAAGAAAGATCACCAAGAGTTTTTGGTGAAATGGCAGGGCTGTGATGCAGAGGAGAACACTTGGGAGAGGGGAACAAACCTCAAAGCCTACAAGAGCCTAATTGAAGATTATCTTGTAAGTAAGGCATTGAGGACGTCGCCAACTCAGGTGGGGGAGAATGTCATGGGCGGCTTTCCAACCATGCCCCATGACCCCTTGGGCACGCCCCATGGCATCCTAGCAAGCCTCTCAATGCCTAGCGCCACGGACGGCCTTGTGGTCTTGTCCACGCCAAGTGACAAGCGCGCATGTGCCTCTGTCGCCCTACAGATATCCCTCGCCAGTGCCCAACCGCAGGTGGATGCCAACAGTGTCGCGCGCGTAGACCCTGATGCCAAAGACTATGCTGCTGACAACGGACCTGTTTCTGCCTTGTAGAAAACTAAGTCATTGTAAATATAGAATAGTTTTATTCCATATACTTCCATTATGTTTCTCTAGTTTAATCAAGTCTAGTCTTGTAGCTTTGGTTTATTTTTTTTAAGCATTATTAGGGGGATCAAGCAATCAAACTTTCTAGTAAGCAAACAATTCTCTGTACTGGTGTCTCTCCCCCTCGACACCACGTTGCCTTTCTGTAATAGCTTTCATTAATGCAATCAAGTTTTCTTTCATTCACAATTCTCATTTTTGTTCTTTCAATTGCTCTTGACATTGGTTTTCCCGTACGGCACTGACAATCTAGTCTAGCGTACGGAGGGGACCTCAGTTGGAAGACAGTAACTGCACTGACATCAGTTGCTTAGCCTTACGTCGCCCTTCCAAGGAATCTCAGAAAGGCGCCGCGTAATAGGAAACATACACCATGTCATATGACATCAAAGTCTGGCGGGTGATCAAAAAGAGAAATCTTCCAATTCCCCGAAAGAAAGATGAGAATGGTCAAGTAATAGTATCCACTGATCCACTTGATTTGGATGACTACACTGATGAGTAAGCCGCTGTCAACTATGAATGCTAAAGAAAACAATCTTCTGTACAATACTATTAGTGGTGAAGAGTATGAAAAGATCTCAAGCTGTGAAACTGCTAAGGAAATGTAGGACAAATTGGAAGTCACATATGAAGGAACCAACAAGGTAAAAGAAACGAGGATAAATCTTTTGGTTCGTGAGTATGAGCTATTTCAAATGAAGGACGGAGAATCTACTGAAGAAATTTTCTCCAGGTTCATCAAAATTCTTAGAGATCTTAAATCTTTTGGTAGAACAATAAAAAGCGGAGAACAAGTCTGAAAAGTTCTTAGAAGTCTACCTACGATTTGGCAGCCAAAGGTCATTGCTCTCGAATGTCAGGATCTTGACAAAATGTCCTATGGTGAAATCAGAGGTGACTTAATAGCCGTTGAGAAAACTTACTTGGATATACAGAGTCAACAAGAAAAGAAAAAAATAGCTGCCTTCAAAACAACTGTGGCTGAACCAGAAGATGAAGAAGAAGAGGAAGGAGGAGAACAGGATGAAAACATAGCCATGCTCTCTCAAGTTGTAACTAGCATGATGAAAAAACCCAGAAATAGCAGAAGAGATAAACCAAGGAAGAAGTCTCTTGGATGCTACGAATGTGGAAAACACGGACACATTAAAGCTGATTGTCCTGAACTAAAGAAGAAGCTCAGCAGGAACCTTCAAAGGAAGAAGTCTTTTGGAGCTTGGAGTGATGACGAAAAATTTGATCATGAAGAAATTGCAAATACGTGTTTCATGGCCATAGAAGATGATAGAAATGAGGAATCAGGAGAGCGTGGATTCTCATAAAACAAAGGAGCGGAAGAAAAATAAGACTCAGGTGAACTTGGTCTTATGGCAGACGAGGGAGCTAGTGAGGCATGTCCCCCTACTTGCCCTAATTGTTATGAACTTTAAGAATTTTTTGATATTGCTCTTGCAGATATAGAAAGAGTTCTAAATGAACTCAGAAAGATCCAAAGAGAAAAGAAAGATTGGGCCTTGAAGCTAGAAGTTTGTGAAATTGAGCGTGATATGCTACAGGAAGAGGTTAATGAACTTCAACTTCAATTGAATGGATTGCAAAAATACACTAGTCATAGTTCAGTCAAATCAAATCAAACAGTTCATCACAATAGAAGAAATCTCATGTATGTTACTTTTGTGGTAAAAATGGCGATAATACTAACCAATGCAGGAACAGAATCAAAGCAGAAAAAGACTCTGAAAATTCTAATAGTCCATCTTGTTTTTATTGTGGTAAAAAGGTTCAGACCTCAAATCGTTGCAGGTTCAAGGATAATAGGATATGGGTTTGGCAACCCAAATCTTCAAATCAAACTAACACTCAGCATTCTAACCATTTAGGACCCAAGCAGGCTGGGTACCTAAAAATAAGTATTTTTGTTTTGCAGGAACACCGCAAAAAGAATGGAAAAGGAAAATGGTATCTCGACAGCGCGTGTTCTAGACATATGACTGGTGACAAAAAATTGTTCAAGACAGTCACCAAGATAGATGGAGGAACAGTTACCTTTGGAGACAAATCCAAAGGAAATGTAATTGGTGTTGGAAAAGTTCCTCTGAACTCAACATATGATGTAGATGAAGTCTACCTGGTTGATGAACTCGGCTACAATCTTCTCAGCATTAGTCAACTATGTGACAAGGACTACGAGGTTCGTTTTAAGAAACATAGTTGGTTTATAGAAAATGAATCAGGTAAAGTCACTTTTTCAGGTAATATAGACAAAAATGTCTATACTATAAGCAACTTAAATAATCTTGGGGATCAAATTTGTCTTGCTTTCTTGATTGATGATCCCTGGGTATGGCATAGAAAACTTGGTCATGCCAGCATGCATACTATTCAAATGCTTTCTAAGCATGATCTCGTTATTGGACTTCCAAAACTAGATTTTTCAAAGGATCATATTTGTGATGCATGTCAACTAGGAAAACAAACTTGCTCATCTTTCAAAATCAAGCACATTGTTTCCACCTCCAAACCTCTCCAACTATTGCATGTGAATTTATTTGGTCCAAATAGAACTGATAGCATAGGTGGTAGTAAATATGCTTTTGTCATTGTACATGATTTCTCTAGATTTACCTGGGTTATGTTTTTAAGTCATAAAGATAATGCTCTAAAGAATTTTGAAGTTTTCTGTAAGAATTTTGAAGTTTTTTGAAGTTTGCAACGATCAAGGAATCTCTCACAACTTCTCTTCACCAAGATCTCCGCAACAAAATGGAGTGGTAGAGCATAAAAATAGAACTTTACAGAACATAGCAAGAACCATGATTGTGGAAAACTCTCTACCTCACCATTTGTAGAAGCGGTGAGCACAACATGT